ACTGAGGTTGAGGTTACCTCAGGGATCGCCTGAACCCTTACAGCCCAGTCACTGAGCATCTGCCGGAGCATCACTGGTCGTCTACCGAGTTGGTGGGGATCATTTGACAACAGCAGGAAGCCAAGCCTTTAGGGTCCCGGGCCCAGGATTGCGGGATAATCTGCCCATAGAGATTCAGCAGGTGCCTTCTGTTTCCACTTTTAACCTCCTGGTGTAAAGGGAAGTCTTCTTTCTGCACATAACTGTTAGTCTCTTTCTGCACAAAACTGCTCCATTTTGGGGAAGCCTTGCTCCTCTTTTCTCTTGCTTTCTGAGAAGTCTTGCTCGTAGGTTTTTCCCTGCTTTTGCACACACTGTACGAACCTGCTCTTCACGCCTAGCTGACTACAGAACCTGATTACATTGTTACATGCTATGATCAATCATTAAGTAACAGACATCCCAAGCTCATGGAAAACAAACTGTACTTGCTCTCCATGCCTAGCTGATCATAACTATAGAACCCGATTGTTATATTGTTTGTGCCAATTAATCCCTAGTTACAATTCAATTAGGAGGCTTCATACCTGTCTAGTTCTAACTCCGATTCTCAGCCTTCTCTCCATCAATGATAAATGATCACATGTAATCCCCACCTTTCACATGTAATTCCCGCCTTAGTACTTATGTTAACCAATCACAAGTTTCTGTGTGTATGTATCAACCAATCAGCCACAGGCCCACCTGTGGCAATGCTTGCAATATTCAATAAAACAGGCTCCCAGGGTCCGCCCTGGCCAGACGCCTAGCTACACCTGCCTCTCCCGTCTCCCGTGATTTTTCATTTCTACATCTGGTGACCCACGACGTGCCAGATCCCTTCACGCAGCCTCATACTTCACTCGACTGGAGAAGTCTTAGCCGGCTACACCGTGAGTATGGGGGGGGGAGCTTTCAAAGTCCCAGAAAGTGCATGCTACTGAACTGCTTCATTTAGTCAGACAAAGAGGTGCAGGTGCTCATGTTTCTTTAAAGGAAATTGAACGTTTGCTATGTGAGATTGCATTCCAATGTCCCTGGTACCCTGAGGCAGGCTCCTTGGGGATAGAGGCTTGGCAAAAGATTGGAAAAACTTTTTTTGCAGAACCCAGGGCTCCTATTCATTGTCTGCTTACTTGGCAGATATGTGCAGATGCCGTTGCAAAATTAGGGCCCCTGGCCTCTCAGGCGTCTCCCACGGCTCCTGCACTTCTAACTATTGCAGACAATCCCCCTCCTTACCCCAAGCTTTTGCCTCCTGCACAATCCTGCCAATCCCTCCCTCCTTCCCCTGCTTCCACCCAATCCATCCCCCCTTCCCCCCCACCTGCGTCTGCTTCTACAGGAGCTATGCCTCAGCCCACACCCATTCCCCCTTCCCTCCCTCCTGTGTTTCCTTTGCCTGCACCTGCTTCTTCAGAAGCTGTGTCTCAGCCAACATCCACTTCCCCCCCTCTTTCTTCTCCCCCACTTTCTTCCCTCCCTCCTTCCACCCCTCCCTTGCCTGCCTCAGCTCCTGCCTGTTTCACGGGAGCTGTCCGTGTTGCACTTTCTCAAGCAAGGCAGAAAGGGCTCCTATCCTTAGAGGAAGAGTCTGAGTGGGCTGGGGTGTTGCCATCTGCTTTCCCTATTTCTTATGCAAACCCAGGCACAGTGCAACAACAGGTGCTATATGAAACCCTTCCCTATTCTGTAATGAGAGAATTGAGAAGGGCCATTGCTGATTGCAGTTTAAAATCCACTTATGTGACAGGAATGCTGGATGGAATAGCAACTGCTTCAACTGCAATCGCCCAGGTCATTTTGCAAAAGAATGCAGAGCACCTGGCGGTGGGGCGCACAGGAATGGTGATGCCAATAAGGCTAAACCTTCCAAGAAATGCCCAAAGTGCGGTAAAGGCTATCATTGGGCAAATCAGTGCAGGAGTTCGGGAAACTCCTTAGGGGCCCCACTCCCGGGCCAGGACAAATAGGGAGCCCCCCCCCCCCCGCCGTTAGTCTCCACTATTAAAACCATCTCAAAGGATACACGCTCTGATTTTACCATCGACTTAATTAATCAAAAAACCAAAGACACTGTTTTACCTGATGAAATTGTGCTTATGACCACCCAATTACCTCCTAAAGTCGCAGGTTTAATTTTACCCAAATTTTCTGCGGCAAAAGAAGGAATCCAGGTTATTCCTGGTGTTCTGGATCCTGACTATGTAGGCACAATAATGGTTCAGTTTTGGAGCCATATGCCCATGCAATTAAAAAAGGGTGAGTCTTGGGCGCATTTGGTGGTGCTCCCTTCTCATCCTACTGCTTCCATTATGGATATTAATTTGCACGAGCTTTCTTTTATCCCTCCACAGCTTTTAACTGTAGTCCAGAGGATTGGTGAGAAGAAACTTCTTTGTAAGTATAAAATCAATGGAAAAGTTCTGGAAGGCTTGATTGACACGGGCGCAGACATTTCTGTAATTTCCAGTGATTGCTGGGACCCCACGTGGCCCCTTGAGTCTGCCTCTGCAGTCTTGGGCGTGGGTGGCCCACAAAATTCTTCCAAGAGCGTACAGTGGCTGCCTGTTTCTCTGCCTGATAGTTCTGAAACCATTGCATACATCCAGCCCTGTGTGCTGAAAATCCATCTCAATCTGTGGGGAAGAGATTTATTACAACAATTACAAGCTACCATTCAATTTAATGAGTAAGCTTGCACTTCCCCTCAACTGGAACTCTTCTGGTTGTGTCCTGGCTATACGTTTAATTACATTCCAGCAAACATCAGCCATGGCACACCTTGCTGTTTAAGCCGTTTGTCCATCATTTTACCCAAGAAACATCATTTATCCCACTCTTGATATCGCTGCTCTGTGAAATTGACTAACGATTGTGATGCTTTTGTCTCTCTTCTCAGTAGGTCTGAATATATCTCTTTAGCTGTTTTTCTCTTAGGAGTCCCTGGATTGGCTGTACGGAATCGTATGAACATTTATTCTTTAGCTTGTTCTGCAGAAAAAGCCCTGAATTTTACTTCAGAAGCTCTTCACCTTTTGAATAAAGAACAGAGTGGACTACATAATGGACTTTTACAAAATTGCGCTATAGATTATTTGCTGATGCTTCATCATTATGGCCGTGAACAAGTTGACAACATGTGACGTTTTAATATTACTGATAATTCCAAAGCCATCCAAAAGCAGATCTCTCATTTGCAAAATCTTACACACCACATTAAACAAGACATTGGATTTTTTGGCCTCTGGGGTTCTTTTACCCAGTGGCTTACTGCTTGGCTACCTAATCTTACTTGGCTTCGTAATCTCTTTCAATATGCCCTTGTCATTATATGCATCTTAATTTTGTTATGTTGCTTCCTTCAATGCGTTCCTGGCCTCATAAGCCTTTTCTCTCGGCTTCTCTCTCCCCCTCAACCACCTAATAAACTTCTCGCCGCCTACTTTGTGAAATGGCAACACCAACAGTAAACCTAAGGTGAGATGTGGACGGGCTTATTTTGGGCATGCGTTGGCAAACCACGTATCCCGAAGTATTCTTGTCCCATCGACCCTGGCGAACTTATTTTGGGCATTTGTTGGCACACCACTAATCCTGAAATATTTTTGCCTTATTTACCCAGAATGCCTCGCAAACAAGAAAAGAAAGGGGGAGATAAAGGGAAGTCTTCTTTCTGCACATAACTGTTAGTCTCTTTCTGCACAAAACTGCTCCATTTTGGGGAAGCCTTGCTCCTCTTTTCTCTTGCTTTCTGAGAAGTCTTGCTCGTAGGTTTTTCCCTGCTTTTGCACACACTGTACGAACCTGCTCTTCACGCCTAGCTGACTACAGAACCTGATTACATTGTTACATGCTATGATCAATCATTAAGTAACAGACATCCCAAGCTCATGGAAAACAAACTGTACTTGCTCTCCATGCCTAGCTGATCATAACTATAGAACCCGATTGTTATATTGTTTGTGCCAATTAATCCCTAGTTACAATTCAATTAGGAGGCTTCATACCTGTCTAGTTCTAACTCCGATTCTCAGCCTTCTCTCCATCAATGATAAATGATCACATGTAATCCCCACCTTTCACATGTAATTCCCGCCTTAGTACTTATGTTAACCAATCACAAGTTTCTGTGTGTATGTATCAACCAATCAGCCACAGGCCCACCTGTGGCAATGCTTGCAATATTCAATAAAACAGGCTCCCAGGGTCCGCCCTGGCCAGACGCCTAGCTACACCTGCCTCTCCCGTCTCCCGTGATTTTTCATTTCTACACTGGTGAAAACACTTCTATTCCGTCAGGCAATTAAGAAAACACCTTTCCACAATAGTCAGCTGGCTTCTAATTTTGACATTTTATATGATTTTTACTGCCTGGTTTTATGTACAATTATAAACAGCTCTATTATTATTTTTTTAAGTTTATGCATAGTGGTAAATAAATATGTTTACAAATGATTATTTAAGGCAGAACGCATTCCATGGCAAGAAAGGTCTCTCTTCCCTCCACACAATCCCTAAAGTTCAAGCCATCTGGATGTGCACTAATTATATTATCTATTTTACTTTTTTACTTATTTATCTTTAGTAAATTTGTATTTAATAGATCTCAAGGCGCTTCACAACATGAAAATACAAGATACAAGCCATAGTTATTCAGCAGTGAGTGAAACATATTCTGCACATGCCCAGGGGTGCTCTTTTTATTATTACTTCACACATTCTGGAGCTTAGACTGCAAGAAAAATTCTGCCTGGCAGAAGAATGGGGGAAACTCAAGAGCTCTAAAAAACGAGGGAGCTGATCTTCTACCTCTTACCTGGCACCGCAGCTGGCGCAAGCTGGGGGACCACGAGGCCACCTGAACAGCATCTGATTAGACACCAAGGGCAGAACGGCAAGCCCATGGCTGGATCCATCAAGACCAAGCCAAAAGCTGGTGGACCAAGGGTAGGGGTGTCAGGGAAGAGCTCATGGCCTACCTGGTTGCAGGTGTTAATATCCACACCATTCCTCAAGTGGTCCAGAGCCTTGTCCAAGTTTCCAGATCGTGCCGCCCGTAAGAAGCTGGTCGCAGCATCAGCCTTGGAAAGAGAAGAGGCATTGTTAGTGGGTGTATTGGGCTAGCCTGCAATAGCTGAAGTGCAGCTCTCGCTGATGTGGTTAAGCAGCATCTGGGATTCCGACTGCAGGTGGGGGCTCACCTGATTGCTCCTCCACACAAAAATAAACAAATCCTTGCACACAGAAAGTTAGCATCTCAGGGAGTAGGACTTGGTGCCAGCCAGCACCCAGGGAAGGCGAGGCCAAACCCTTCTAAGTCTAACCAGCATTTTGACTGAGGGAAGAACACTGTTAAAAGAAGCACAGACCTGCCGCCCAATATGGCAAATGCACGTACAGTGGTACCTCGGGTTAAGTACTTAATTCGTTCCAGAGGTCTGTACTTAACCTGAAACTGTTCTTAACCTGAAGCACCACTTTAGCTAATGGGGCCTCCTGCTGCTGCTGCGCCACTGGAACACGATTTCTGTTCTCATCCTGAAGCAAAGTTCTTAACCTTAAGCACTATTTCTGGGTTAGCGGAGTCTGTAACCTGAAGCATCTGTAACCTGAGGTACCACTGCACCAAGTTTTCCCCTCCCCCTCCGTAACACGTGGCACCACTCACTGTATGTCTTGATATCACTAAGCAGCAAGTTTCCCTGCCCCACACCACTAAAACACACATTTTTACAAAGTAATTTCTCCAAATATAATGCACTTTTCTATGCTATTTACACTTACCCTACAATATTTATTTTTATTTCTTTATTAAATTTGTATACCGACCTATTCCTGTAGATCTCAAAGATAGGCATCTTTACACGCATTCCTTGTCTGGAGAACTGCACTGAGGACATTCAGAAAAGTACAAATGCTAAAGAACAGCTGTGCTTCAGTTTGCATATTCTTTCACAGAGTGTGGATTTGGTAGGTTTACTACCGTTAAATGTAAACTGAATCTAATTTCTCCATTTTCAGCAGAAGCGTTGCATAGCTTATGACACGAAGCTCCGCAAGAGGTGTCCTTCCTCAGCTCCCCTGTGGAGATCAGGGGCTTCCCTTCAAAACAAGCAGGGGGAACCTTGAGTCCTCCAGACGTCGTTGAACTACAGCTCCCCCCATCCACTGGCCAGGCTCGCCAGGGATGCTTGGAGGGCTCCCCCCTCCTGCTTCAGAGTATCCAATTAGAATTAAAACAAAACAGGTTGGGTTTTTTTGTATTTAGTTTTTGGCAAGTTTTTAAGTTTTAACATTTTATTTAAAAAAAAACCAACAGATGCCTTAAACAAAAACATGAAATGCTGATGAAACTGAAGGCAATATTGCAACTGATCACTGTGCTTTTACATCTCAGAGGGATTTCTCCCCTTCCAAAGCTCCTAAATCCAACAATATCCATAATGCCAGCCTAAGTATTCCTAACTCAGAAATTCATAGGGAGATAGATGCTGCCTTGTGCCAGGTCCACCAAAGGACCACCTGACTCTGTATGGCCACAATGACCAGCTAAGCAGAGAAGGAGCTGGATGTCCTGATTTCGGGTGAGCATTGGGAGCTCTCATCTTAGGCTGACACAGCAGATTGTTTTTATCGCAAGAGCTGACCGTGGGCTGATTTTGCACTCACAATGCAGTCAACAAATGACATGCTGTAGCAGACCTACCAATTGCCTTGTCTTAAGTGGGACAGCCCCACTTTCTTTGGAGGTGCCTTGGACTCTGCCTTTGTCCCAGGGCACCCCGATTACAGCCCTACCTGGAAATGCTGGAGATCCAATGAGGAACCTTCTGTGTGCAATGCAAGTTCTCTACCGCTGAACTACAGCCTTTCCACAGATGCATTTGCCTTTCTTTTTTTTTTTTTTGCTTTTTTTAGCATTTATATCCCACACTACCTATATTCTGCCCAGAACAGCTCACAAAAAAGGGTAAATAGAAAAGTTAGCACGTAAGTTCATGAACATGACCAGATCTTTTTTCCAAAAAATGAAAAACAAACATAACATTGGTACATTCTTATAAACAAGATATGATAACCAAATCTCACATTGTTTAAATTAAGTTTTAGTGATGTGTCTGTTCCGTAATTCTCACCTCTTTCAGAAACATCGCATTCAGCCTGCCTACAGCTTTCCCCAGGTGTTCACAGGTAGAGGCATCATAGCTGACTACAGCAAACCCTCCAAAGTTCAGCCAAGAAAGATTGGGACGTGGGCCTCGTGCCTCCTTCCCCAAGCCCAGTAAGAGCTTGCCCAGCTTTGGGAAGGAGGAAGGAGGACTCCAGCATGCTGCCAGAGCCTCGTGCCTCCTTTCCCAGTGGGTGGTTTTTATAAAAAAACTTAATAGATTTTCAGCTGAAACCATAGATCTGGCTGATTAGATCTGGCTGAGTCATTGATCCATCTAGCTCATCGCTGCCTACACTGACAGGCAGCAGCTCCCCAGGCTCGCAGGCAGGCAGGCAGTTGGTTTGTTTGCTGGAGCCCTTGGCAAACATGAAAGCTGTACAATATGCTTATGTGCAAACCCTTTGGTTTTCTTTAAGTGGATGTAAAAGATGGCCTGAGAGAGGCCTCATGGTTGATCTTTGTTTTACAGTATGCTCCCCCACCACCACCCGCACTTCAGACACCTGCTAAGTCAGTTTGTCCAGAGACAGCAGCAGGACAAAAGGAAATAGCACCTGCACAGCCTGGGCAGCAAAGCCTCTCTGAGGTCGCCTCCAGACTATCAGTACTTTCCTGGAGGTATTCAACCACATGCTGGGAAATTGAGGTTTGTGCAATTCAAAGGGGAAGAAAGTGCTCTGTCACAACAAATCCACTTTTTAAAACAAACAAACAAACAAACAAACAAACAAACAAACGGACTCTTTGCTGTTAGAAAACTGACAAGGAAATGCACTGATAAGTGTGGAATTAATGAATGGTTAAGAGGAAGATGTGCAACCCCAGCACAGGCAAAAAGGGACAAAGGCTTGCTGTCCTATGTCTGCCCCACAACAAATCAGAAAAAATGCTCAGGACACAGACAAAACTGGACACGGACGTTATGCAAGCGAGTCATGCCCCATAAGCAGAGGTCATCCGGAGGAGCTCCAGAGCCACTTTCAGCTTTCTTCAAAGGGAAACAGTGTCCCTCTCGGACCCAGGAGGGGCAGACCCCGCAGACTAGAGCAGCAGCCTGCATTTAGCACTGAAAACGGATGTGGGTCCCTTCTCTGCTGCTTAGCTTGACCCTACCCAAATTTGAACTCTTGCATAAGCCTTTGGGAATGGAAACCCCCCTCCCCCCCCCTTACACTTCTCAAAATGAAAGTAGAGCAGGCAGGTGTCCGAGCAGATGAGATAACCAAGATGCTCTGGCTATAATTAACTGCACACTTCCTATGTGGGACCCTGGCCCAGAAAAGGAGGCCTCTCGAGTCCAGGAGAGGGGAGAGGCAAAAGAGAGCTGGCACCACAGGGAGGAGAGAGATTTGTGAATGGAGGCAGGCTTTGTGCAAAGGCCCTAGAAAGCCACAGCTCAGTGGGAAGAGCACACCATTGTTGCGTGAACATCATCCCAGGTTTCAATCCCTGGCGTCTCCAGGTGGGCTGGGAAAGGACCCCCCCCCCCCGATTACTCAGTTATAGAGATGGGCGGACCAATGGTCTGGCTCTCTTTAAGACAGCTTCCTCCATGCCTAAAAGCTAAGTAGGGGCTGCTGACTCTGCATGCAGAAAGACCACCTTCCATTCTGCCTGTCAGTGCAGATAAATATTGAGCTAGATGAAAGAGCAGCCTGACTCTGTATGAGACAGAGCCTTATGACCCCATGGTATTTCATGCCAGGACTGGTCCCCCTGGTCTTGAATGGCGGACAACAGCGCCAGCCCTGCCATTGGTCAGGGTGAGGCAGCCACCTCAGGCAGCGGGTGCTTGGAGAGGAGGGCAGCCAAGTGATGGAGGACTAAGGGCAAGATGTTGGAGGGCAGAGGTGTTTGTGCCACGCAGCCTGCCCTGCACTAGCCTGCTAGCCTACATTACAATGAAGGACGCTGTCCTGTCGTCAGAAGATAAGATGAGCCCTCTGGATCAGGCCAATGGCCCATGTCACCCAGCATTCTCTTCTCCCACTGGCCAACCAAATGCCTATGGGAAGCCTGAGAGCACAGCCATGGGAAGCTTGATCCTCCAAGAATTTGTCTACTCTTCTTTTAAGGCCATCTCTATTTCCCATGGGAGTGAAGCCCACAGTTCGGCTTGCCATTCTACTTTTTCCAAACCACACATCACCTCTGCCATGTCTCCTGTTAGGGCTCATCCGTGCTTCTGCTTGTCCTGTGCTTTCTAGGCATGAGTCCAACCATTTTTGCCTTTGCCGTGCCACTTACCCCCAAAAACCTGCTCTTTAGCGCTCTTTAGTCATGGGATGGCACCATCGTCTGCTTCACCTCAGGTATCGAAACATCTTGGGCCATTGCTGGCAGAGACTGTACCCTAAAGGCTTTCTGCTGGTGGCAACATAGCCAAGAGGGTTGGGCAGAAGGACTGTCTCCTTGCCACTGCTTGAAAGGGTGGAAATAACTCCACCCATTTTTGCACAGTGAAATATGCAAAGATAGGGTAGACTCTTCCAGGAATGTAGCCAGGGGCCACAAAATGGAGGCGGCAAGTAGAGGGCACTTGCTGTTGTTGTTTAGTCGTTTAGTTGTGTCCGACTCTTTGTGACCCCAATGGACCAGAGCACGCCAGGCACTTCTGTCTTCCACTGCCTCCCGCAGTTCAAACTCATGCTGGTAGCTTCGAGAACACTATCTCGTCCTCTGTCCCACCATCTCGTCCTCTGTCGTCCCCTTCTCCTTGTGCCCTCCATCTTTCCAAGCATCAGGGTCTTTTCCAGGGAGTCTTCTCTTCTCATGAGGTGGCCAAAGTCTTGGAGCCTCAGCTTCAGGATCTGTCCTTCCAGTGAGCACTCAGGGCTGATTTCCTTAAGGATGGATACGTTTGATCTCCTTGCAGTCCATGGGACTCTCAAGAGTCTCCTCCAGCACCAG